TGGTAGATCTGGTGCTAACACATGGGGGAAACAAATCGGTGACGGAAACCATGTATTTCGGGAAACCTATGATAGTCTTACCACTCTTTGGGGATCATTCGGATAACGCACAGAGACTTCAAGAAAAAGGGTTTGGGATTAGACTGAATCCCTACGAGTGCTCTGAAAATGAATTATTGGATTCAATCGACAGACTATTAAGCGATCAAATATTGGCCCAAAAGTTGGCAAAAGTGTCGCAAAGAATTCAAAGCGAAAAGAATATCAAAAAACTCGTCAAAATTGTCGATAAATTAGTTAAAAATAAATAGTTTATATCAATTAAAACACGATATAATTGTTTTCAGTTTTAATTAGGGTTATTGAGTATAATATAGCTAACGTACCTTTGGTTTTGTAAACCTAATATTAAAATAGAGTGATTTATTTAAATGCATCATAAGCTATAACTTTTATATCTTGTAAGGCACCGGTAGTTGTGAGTAAAGTGTGCACTGATTTATATAATCAGGCTAATAAGGATATTTGTCACAAAGTTATAACACATTGTTCATGGACCAATTAGATTGGTCTATTTATGATTTAATTGTTCATTATATCCAATATTACTGTTAAATATGGCAAGGCCGTTTTAATCACATAATTTGTACAAAATTTCAAACCCAGATGCTTTAACTATAATATATTATATCATTTCATATAAGTATAAATATAGTTATAAACAATTTTTATATTGATTCAAGTTAAACTAATTTTTTAATAATAATACATTACATAATGTTATGCAAAGGTACAGTACTTGAGAGTAATTTAAAATATTAAATATAAAAGTGACAAATAAACTTCATGACAGTACACTAATTTATTTTCTAATTATTTGATTGTTTTGGACATTCACTGAGTTATTTAATTTCAAATTAGATTAACTAGTATAGTTAATTTAAAAGTATACAAAAAAGTTTCATATTACTTAAGTCAAAATAATGGTTATTGCATGACTTTAAAATTTAATGTGGGAATATTTTATAACTATTAGAAATTAATAAATCTTAATTTATCAAATAATTATTTCACTAAATTCTCAACAATTTTGACGAGTTTTTCGATATTCCTTTCGCTTTGAATTCTTTGCGACACTTTTGCCAACTTTTGTGCCAATATTTCATCGCTTAATAGTCTGTCGATTGAATCCAATAATTCATTTTCAGAGCACTTGAAAGCGTCGAGTCTTATACCAAATCCTTTTTCTTGAATTCTCTGTGCGTTATCCAATTGATCCGCAAATAATGGTAAGACTATCATAGGTTTCCCGAAATACATGGTTTCGGTGACTGTATTATTGCCGCCGTGTGTTATCATTAGGTCTACAATTGGCAACACTTTCACCTGAGGGACAGACCTCTCGCCCCACATATTGTCCGCCAATTCGTATTCATTATGTTTGACACCTTTGGAGACAATGAACCGGTGCTTAGATTTGGACAAAATCGCGACCAATCTCTTCATGAGCTCTACATTTCCAGATCCCATTGAACCCAACGACAAGTAAATCAGTTTTCCGGACCTATTCTTAAGGCTTTCCGGGATTTCAAACGTGTCTTCATTTCCGGTTCGTTTAAAATTATCAAATCCATGGAAAGTGTCGGGAAGTGGTCTGATGTCCGTATAATCCAGTTCTTTAGGAGTCATATAAATGTTAGCGTATGGGGAAGGGGTCCAGATTAGGAATTCTTGAAGTTTGGGACATCCCATGGAAACCAATTGATCCCTATATTTATACCACTTTTCACGACTTTTTTCCCACGGTTGTTGTCTGTATTCCTCCTTCACTTCTGTCCCACTATTTGTCGGCAATCCTACAAACAATAAAATAATAATATTATTATTTTGAATACTTTTAATGATATTTTAAATTATATGTAATGTATGCATACCTAAGAATGCTGGTGGAAGTATGTTATCCGGGTAACCGTAGTTTAATGATAATGGGTTGCTACTCCAACTAAATATCCAGGGTATGCCTGATGTTACAATACTAGGTATTTGAACAACCTGGTCACTTATTATGACATCAGGTTTCAGATCCTGTATAATAGCCTTAATCAATGGATCCGTTTCTGTGATCTCTTTGAGACCAAAGTTGACAAAGAAATCATTGCAACGAATAGCCATTTCCAATGGAGTGGTGTTTTCAAAAACGTTATTTTCCTCGGCCACAGCCACGTTACTATCGGCTGAATCAGTCACCACCACATCCCCGGCCACCGGTTGTCCCATGAGTTTCACCTCAAACCCAATGGACTCGAGCCGTGACTTCCAGTCGTTGGTCACCGCAAACACACAGTGGTATCGACCGGTGTCTCTCAACACCTCAGCCATACCTATACTAGCGTTCACAGGGCCCACAAACTGAACAGGGGCAAATAGCACGGTTAGTTTTTTGTTTGACATTATTTAAAACTACGGTTGAAGTTGAAAAGTATGTTATTTTGATTTATAGTTACGTTGTTTGAAACAAGTTTTATGGTTTACATTGAATGCAAACCTTTTTATATAGTTGTTTTGTACTGTACTCATAGTTATATTTTGGACAAACATTAAAAGCGATAAAAAAGTATCATATTAAACTAGAGTTAAGTAATGCACCCAAAATGTGGGTATTGTCAAATTGACAAATTGACAAATTGTAACAAATTGACAAATTGTAATAAATTGACAATTGTCAAATTGTCAGATCATTATCTTGTATTTATATTATACTGCATATTACATTATACAGTACATGGTATGTTACTGGAACTTATCAAATGTTATATATTGTTAAGTGAACTCTAACCTCGGACAACATATCAATACGTTTTTAACATAGATTTCTAAGGCACCAAAATTGAACTTTAGACTCGAGAACTTCAATAAAGAAGTTTAGCTAAGCCTATAGGATTATATCCTTAATGTGATATATAAAAATATAATTTTAATTTTATTAACAATTTAATTTATTACTTAATTCCGAACCAGATTAACTTAATTATTATCAGAATTAACAAAATTTGAACGGAATTACCTTAATATTGTTAAAATTCACTTAATTCTGAAATAAATTAACTAAATTCCGAACTAAATTAACTAAATTATAATCATAATTAACTAAATTGTGAACAAAATTATCTTTATATTGTTATGATTAACTTAATTCCGAATTAAATTAACTAAATTGTTAACAAAATTATCTTAATTATGAACAAAATTATCTTTATATTGTTAAAATTAACATAATTCCAAACTAAATTAACTTAATTATGATCAGAATTAACTAAATTATATAAACATTTTTGGATTATACTGACTTTAAATATGAACAGAATCAACAATAATATTAACTTTATTTTTAAAAAATTTACATTGCAATAAGGGCTAAAATATCACCTGGGATGTACCCAACATCTTTATTTAAATGATCAATTTTAAAGTCAAGTTTTGTTGACTTTAAAATCCATGTAGTACGTTCATTGAAAAATATTGAAATGTTGTCCGAGGTTAGAGTTCACTTAACAATACTGTACTATATTTTAAATTTCACTTTATTTATTTATTTCATTAGGTGCACTTAAAATAAGTCAGTAATTTGGTAGTTGGTAAAGTATGCAATAATTTTTAATATCAATAAAAATGTTACCCTGTTATCTATTAATATCGTATAATCTGTTATGAACATTAAACTTGATTACAAAATTATGTTATACTATTATGTGGACATTATATGTAGTTTTAACCCAAATTACATATTAATAAATGTATATTCTTTAATAATTGTATTTGTTATGCATTATTTTATATTGGTTAAATTTTTAAAAACTTTATTTGTCCAAGTACATATAAAATATCACAAAAAATTCATAATTCTGTAGTTTCATATTCATTACAGTGTACATGTATAAATGAATGTCTGGTGCAAAATAAATTAAGGTATAATACAATTAATAATATATATTTCTAATTTACTTAATTATAAGTGCACTAAGAAAAATATTAACTTATATTACCGGTATCATATAATAATGTGCTTTTCTGATATTGTAATATACAATTTTAGGATCTAATTATTTCAAATTTAATTATAACTTAATTGTAGACATTGTAATATATTGGTTGAACAATGATTGACAAATTATTTACTTAATTTAAGGAATTTATGCTATAAAACATATATTTATATTATAATATTGTAAACTATTATCACACTTAAAATTCTAGTTGTATTTAAGTCAAAGATAAGACAATTTTTAATCAATTTTTAAATTGTCAACAATTTTGACGAGTTTTTCGATATTTCTTTCGCTTTGAATTCTTTGCGATACTTTTGCCAACTTTTGAGCAAATATTTTGTCGTTTAATAACTTTTCGATTGAATCCAATAATTCATTTTCAGAGCACTCGTAGGGATTGAGTCTAATCCCAAACCCCTTTTCTTGAACTCTCTGTGCGTTATCTAATTGATCCCCAAAGAGTGGTAAGACTATCATAGGTTTCCCGAAATACATGGTTTCCGTCACAGAATTGTTGCCGCCGTGTGTTATCATTAGGTCTACGATTGGCAACACTTTCACCTGAGGGACAGACCTCTCGCCCCACATATTGTCCGCCAATTTGTATTCATTATGTTTGACACCTTTGGAGACAATGAACCGGTGCTTAGATTTGGACAAAATCGCAACCAATCTCTTCATAAGCTCTACATTTCCAGAACCCATAGAACCCAACGACAAATAAACCAGTTTTCCGGACCTATTCTTAAGATTTTCTGGGACTTCAAACGTGTCTTCATTACCACTTCTTTTAAAATAATCAAATCCATGGAAATTATCAGGAAGTGGTCTGATGTCCGTATAATCCAGTTCTTTGGGTATCATATATATGTTTGCAAAGGGGGATGGGGTCCACATAAGGAAATCCTTGAGTTCCGGACATCCATTAGCAATGAGTTGATCCCTATATTCATACCATTTGTCTGCTTTTGCCTCATTTATCTGTTGTCTGTATTTCTCCTTCACTTCTGTCTCACTATTTGTCGGCAATCCTTACAAACGACATAATAATTAGAAATTATTTTCAAAATACTTATTTAATTATGCGTTAAAACATACCTAAAAATGATGGCGGGAGGCGTTTGTCCTCATAACCATAATCCAGTGAATGAGGATTATTACTCCAACTGAATATCCAGGGTATGCCTGATGTCACTATTGAGGGAAGTGTTAGGAAATGGTCGCTAATTATGACATCCGGCTTTACGTCCGCTATAATACTCCTGAGGTAGGGATCAGTTTCTCGGATCTCTTTGGGTAATACTTTCATAATGTAGTCGCTGCTACTAATAGCCTTTTCTAATGGTGTGATATCATCAATAAATCCCCCCTCAAGAGCGTCCTTTACGTTACTATCGGCCGAATCCATGACAACCACATCCCTGTCCACCGTCTGTTCAACCAGTTTCACCTCAAATCCCATGGACTCGAGCCGTGCTTTCCAATAGTTTTTGACGGCAAACACACACTCGTGTCCGCCCACGTCTCGCAACACTTCGGCCATACCTATACTGGACATCATGGGCCCCACAAACTGTGCCGGCGCCAATAGGACAGTTAGCTTTTTGTTAGGCATGTTGTTCAGAGCACTTTTTATATTTTCAGAAAGTTTTAGTAATTTCTTGACAACTTTTCGATAGAAATATAATTCGAAAACTAATTGTTTATATACTGATGGCTACAAAAATTATCAAACTTATCAAATACACTTTGCACTGAAGTGTTATTATTAAGTTTATTAAGTATTAAATGCTCTACAAATTACTGACTTATTCTATGTGCTCCTAATGAAATAAACTTTTAATAAACAAAATGTATTAGGCTGACAAAAAATTGTAACAAATAAAATAATTTCTATAATTAATAAAAAGTAGTGATTATAAAGGTTACATGATTTACATCAAGGTTACTGTTACAGTAAGATTTCAAGTATGGTACATTAATAACATTTGATCAGTTAAAGTTTAATGAATTTTTATACAAATAAATTCAAGATACACACTATTTGTGATACACACAGTGCAATTTCAGTGCAATTTTAGTTTACTATGATAATTTCTATCGCTGTTAATGCGTGTCCATGATAATATTATTAGTGCAAAAGTTATAAAGTAAATGTTATAAAAAGGTTTACATTTAATGCAAACATACAATTCATTAAACATAAATAAAAATTTTAATAACATTCTCAAATTAAACGCTAGTTTACAATAATGCCAATCAAAAAACTAACCGTGCTGTTGGCCCCTGCTCAGTTTGCGGGCTCTGTGAACGCTAGTATAGGTATGGCTGAGGTGTTGAGAGACACCGGTCGATACAACTGTGTGTTTGCGGTTAACAACGATTGGAAGTCACGGCTCGAGTCCATTGGGTTTGAGGTGAAACTTCTGGGACACCCGGTGGCCGGGGATGTAGTGGTGACTGACTCGACTGAGAGCAACGTGGCTGAGATCGAGGAGTCGGGCCTTTTTCAAAACACCACTCCATTGGAAATGGCTATTCTTGTCAACGATTGGATTCTAAGCTATGGTCTCAAAGAAATGGCAGAAACAGATCCATTGGTTAAGACTATTATAGAGGATCTCAAGCCGGATGTCATAATAAGTGACCAGCTTGTTCAATTACCATCGATTGTCACATCAGGTATACCCTGGATATTCAGTTGGAGTGCTAATACATTGTCATTAAACTGCGGATACCCGGTTGACATACTTCCACCACCATTTTTAGGTATCTATAGTTATTTATAGAAATATAAAATTTCAATAAAGTTATTCAAAATAATTTTATTTGTAAATATTTTTTTCATTTATAAGGATTGCCGACAAATAGTGGGACAGAAGTGAAGGAGAAATACAGACAACAAGTGTGGGAAAGAAGTCGTGAAAAGTGGTATAAATATAGGGATCAATTGGTTTCAATGGGATGTCCCAAACTTCAGGAATTCCTATTCTGGACCCCATCCCCCTTTGCAAACATATATATGACTCCTAAGGAATTGGATTATACGGATGTCAGACCACTTCCCGACACTTTCCATGCATTTGATAATTTTAAACGAACCGGAAATGAAGACACGTTTGAAATCCCAGAAACTCTTAAGAATAGGTCCGGAAAACTGATTTACTTTTCATTGGGTTCTATGGGTTCAGGAAATGTAGAGCTTATGAAGAGATTGGTTGCGATTTTGTCCAAATCTAAGCACCGGTTCATTGTCTCCAAAGGTGTCAAACATAATGAATACGAATTGGCGGACAATATGTGGGGCGAGAGGTCTGTCCCTCAGGTAAAAGTGTTGCCAATCGTAGACCTAATGATAACACACGGCGGCAACAATTCTGTGACGGAAACCATGTATTTCGGGAAACCTATGATAGTCTTACCACTCTTTGGGGATCAATTGGATAACGCACAGAGAGTTATGGAAAAGGGGTTTGGGATTAGACTCAATCCCTACGAGTGCTCTGAAACTGAATTATTGGATTCAATCGACAGACTATTAAACGACAAAATATTGGCCCAAAAGTTGGCAAAAGTTTCGCAAAGAATTCAAAGCGAAAGGAATATCGAAAAACTCGTAAAAATTGTGGACAATTTAGTTAAAAATAAATAGTTTATGCAGTATTAATTAAAACACTATATTATTGTTTTGTAGTTTTTAATAAAAATTCTATAATTTAAAATTACATTTTTTATAATTTTTGTATTGAACTAACTATAGGAATAATTTAACAAAGATTTTGTTTTATTACTAAAATATATATAAAAAATATTGTTTTATTACTACAGTATAATGTTTACTATTGCTAAAATACCAATTGACAAAATATATTAAATAAAACCAATTGGCATAACTTCAATGTCAAATAAATTATATGAAGTATACATTGAATCTAATACACACATTATGACATTACTGTACGACATTATTTTGAAATCAAGTTTAATGTTCATATATTATCTTAATAGATAACAGGGTAATATACTTTGTACTGGTTATTGATATTAAAATCAATTCATGCTGTACCCATCTTGCAAATTACTGACTTATTCTATGTGCTCAAAATAAAATAAACTTTTAATAAAATGTATAACGATGAATAAAAAAATTAATAAGTGATTTCTATAATTATAGTTATGAATTAACAATATACAGTAAAATTTCAATAAATACAGTATACTGTACATTGTATACAGTACAATGTATACCTTACAACATTTGATAAGTTACAGTAACATGCACCTTTATACAAATTCAAGATAATGATATACTGTATCTGATAATAAACACAGTATTGCACTTTTAAAGTTTTACTAACATTTTCGGTGCGTTACATAACTCTCGTTTAATATGATAATGTTTTATCGCTTTTAATGTGTGTCCATAATGTGCTAATAAAAAACTATAAAATGGTTTACATTTAATGCGAAGCATAAAACTTGTGTCATATAACATAAATAAAAAAATATATGATATACTTTCGCAACTTAAACCTTAGTTTTAAATAATGCCAAACAAAAAGTTAACCGTGCTGTTTGCCCCTGAACAGTTTGTGGGCCCTGTGAACGCCAGTATAGGTATGGCTGAGGTATTGCGAGATACCGGTCGATATCACTGTGTGTTTGCGGTGACCAACGATTGGAAGTCACGACTCGAGTCCATTGGGTTTGAGGTAAAACTCGTCAGACAACAGGTGGCCGGGGATGTAGTGGCGACTGATTCAGCCGATAGTAACGTGGCTGTAGCCGAGGAGTCGGGCCTTATGGAAAACGCCACTCCATTGGAAAAGACTATTCTTGGCAATGATTTCCTTGTAAACTTTGGCCTCAAAGAGATTACAGAAACGGATCCATTGGTAAAGACTATTATAGAGCATCTGAAACCTAATGTCATAATATGCGACCGGGTTGTTCAACTACCCTGTATTGTCACATCAGGCATACCCTGGATATTCAGTTGGAGTAGTAATCCATTGTCATTAAACTGTGGATTCCAGGATAACATACTTCCACCACCATTTTTAGGTATTATTTCTATAGTAATTTTAAGTAACTTATTTATAATAATATAGAATTTTAATAAAATTATTCAAAATAGTAATATTATTTGTAAATATTGTATCGATTATAAGGATTGCCGACAAATAGTGGGACAGAAGTGATGGAGAAATACAGACAACAAGTGTGGGAAAGAAGTCGTGAAAAGTGGTATAAATTTAGAGATCAATTGGTTTCAATGGGATGTCCCAAACTTCAGGAATTCCTATTATGGACCCCTTCCCCCTATGCAAACCTATATATGACTCCTAAGGAATTGGATTATACGGATGTCAGACCACTTCCCGACACTTTCCATGGATTTGATAATTTTAAACGAACCGGAAATGAAGACACGTTTGAAATCCCAGAAACTCTTAAGAATAGGTCCGGAAAACTGATTTACTTTTCATTGGGTTCTATGGGTTCTGGAAATGTAGAGCTCATGAA